AAAGATGACACTGCAGCACACCAAAACAGACTGCATAACTAAAGGCAGCATTATCTGAAATAGTTCTGTTTCAGAACCCATAGTCTTGTGACATTACAAATCTCATGTACTGTAAGCATTCACAAAACATATAGCTGTGTAACCTTGGGCTACATTACAATGAATATACATACAGACATTTTCATTTTAGAAAAATTTTCCTTCCAAACAGGAAAGTGTATTGTGTAGCTACACTAGAGACCTAATGTTACATTAATCCACTATTTCGAAGCCCTAGATGTATAACCTTTCTCTTCACCTCTTGCTTAATTTCAGTTTTCTATTTTTAGGTTTTTCCCCATTTTAGGGATGCAGAAGACAAAACAAAGAGATCATAACACACTTCCTTGGGATGAGATAATCAATATTTTCCAAAAATAAAGAATTCACATTATATAAGCATGCTGAGCACTTACACTGTCCACTGACAAAATAATAGTTGGGTGTTTTTTTTTAAATTAAATACCCAATAGATAATATTTTTCTTTTCTGTTTTTCTCCTCTAACGTTAACATTTTTGGTTCTGCAGCATTCAGACTAGAAATGCATCTTCTGTATTTTCAAAGTTTCTGGAAATTTTACACTTCCAGGACCAGTGCAGATTTGGTACCCCAGCTAAAAAGCCTACAGCATCACCGTAGGATGCGGTTACTAAAATCCTTAGGTTGGCTGTCATCATCACAACTAAAGCTACCAGTCTGAGGTCCCACAGCCTGACAAACTTCTGCAAGGAACCTGCCTGGCCACCGTGCTTCAGAATGAGATAAAAGAACCATCAGCCCAATTTCTTTGGAAAGAGTTCCCATTTCTCACGTGGGCAGAGAACTGGGAAACCAAAATGCAGCATTCCAGCTGCTGCCTTCAGGAAATGAGCCAAAGCCTTAGGAGTTTTTTGTCAAAGCTCCTCAGAAGCTACTGCACTTTGACAGGTGCTTTTTCTTAGGAAAAGTCATACTGGTGCCATGTGGGCAAACACACTTTTACTCTAATTCCATTTTTGTGCTAAAAACAGAAACTGCCTGCGTCAATGTACGAGAGCAACGTGTGATCCAACACTGTCATCTCTCAGTTTGCCATCATATGCCAGCAAGTACTTGGTGTGTGATTCCAGCAGAATTCAAGACACAACCCCACTGCATTGTGCTCAGTACATTTTGTTTCGACAAAAATACTACAGAGTTTGCAAGAGTTTAGCTAACATCACAAAATACAGGCTTAGAAATCTCAGGGAGAGCATGCAGGGAGGCTCCTGTGCTAAAGAAAGGATGGGTCTACATATAGTTGCAGACTCCGTCATTCCTATTTCAAAAAGGATTTTGATTCTATTTCTCTGCAGCATCCTCACTGTGCATATGTCCCTTCATCTCTCTCTCAAAGATGTACGTACCCTCTGTAATCAGAACTACATGTTAGGAAACCTTCCAGACAAAAAAAAAAAAAACAACAACCCCAAAACCTAGAAAAAAAAAGTCAACACACATCATCATAATGCACCACCACCAACATAAGTTTGAAGTTAACACATCAAATACCAACCCCATCAGCCAAGACAGCTATCTACCAAGTATAAGTGTCACAGAAATAGTCAATTTCAGACCTCATCACACCATGCATTCCCGAAATCCTGGGAATGGACTGTCTGTTATGAACCCACCACCCAGGAGTTAACAAGGAGAGAGACCTTTTTGTGAGCGCAGAAGGATCATGATGAGTTGAAGATCAAACAGAAACTAAGCAGAACTAAGAATTTCCACAGTGGAGACTGCATCGCATTGATAAGGAAGACATGACACTAAGAATCCAGAGTAAACAAACCCCTTGTAAACTAGCCTGTATTAATTTGAAGAAGCATGCATTTTTGGGATGGAAGCCAAGAGTCACCAGTATCCAAGAGAGGAAACAGGAATCAGAACAAACCATCCCATTTTCATGGAAAGGAGCCACATGAACGAGGAGAACTGATGGTTACCAGCCTTTCTTCCCTTCCTTTACGAATATGTACATAATTGTGCCACAATATCAAAATAAGCAAAGTAATGTGTCTTGCAAAGATACAAAACACTAGGCTTCATCTCATCCTACAGCCTGCCAGCGTTTAACCAGGGTCCATATGCCACCCTGTCCACAGCAGCTCCCCCTCATTAAGTCCTGCACTGAACCTCTCCCTGGGTCTGCATTAGTACACAGTTCTCACTACACATGTTTGCAAAGGCCAAGCAGAATCAAGACAGCTTAGGCTTATCCAAACCGGCTGGAGACAGGAGAAAATGGTTGCCTCCCTTCTTCATATCCCCGCATCCAATGCAGTGGTAGGGTAAGAAAGTCACACATAAAAGAGCAGGCCAATGCTGAGCCTGCAGACCAGATGCTTCCCGGCTCAGAAACACAACCCCCATCTACTTGCTATTAGCAGAGAGAAAACTGCAGAAGGATCTGGTGGGCTTTGTTGGAGCAAGCAGTACTCCACACAGCTCCTGTCTGTACTATCTAGGTACCGCCTTTAGTCCTGCAGTGGGATGCCAGTGCACTCCTTGGTTGGTCAAGGCTGTCAAGGAGAAAAGATTCTCCCACCAGACACATTTGAGTTTTAAAGAACTTACTTTTGCAAGAAGCCATGGATATGTCAGGTTCTCTGTCTCTGTTCAGTAAATACAACACTGGTTATTGCCAGGATATACTCAATGGACATCAGATATTAGCATACTATCATCCCTGACAGACAGCTCATCAACAGTGTCAGTATCAATGGCAGGTTTGGAGGCTGAGGGGCTCAGAAAGGCTTCAGACTACCTTGCAAGAATGACTTCCCTTCAGCATTTAACAGCCGTACCTGTCTCTTGATTTCGAACATCAGCAGATTAGCAGACCTGCCTGTCAGATGGCTTTTAGACAGATCACTGGCAGACTGAAGGTGCACAAGATGTTGGGAGTGAACACAAACAGGACAACTGACCTCAACTGAACCAAGCGATATCCCATACCAAATGGAGTCATGCTCAGCATACAGAGGTGGGGAAAGAAGGAAGCAGGGATGTTCAGAGTGATCTGTTATCTCTGCTTGATAAAAACTCAGACAAGTAGCACATGCAACAAGCCTGTATCAGCTTGAATGGACAGTTTTCTTTCCCACCACAAAGGTGGGAAAAGATCCAAACAACAACAAAAATGAAACTAAAATGCATGTTCACAATTTGTCAACACTTGCACCATTGAAAGGGCTTTTTTCTTGCCACTAAGGGGTAATTTGAGTTTGTAGACCTTCACAGGGTCCTTCTGTTCATGAGACAATTACAGTGTTCTCAACTTTGTACAAACACCAGCTGCAACAAGAAACCAAGGATTGATAGATAACTCTAATGTACAGTTTGATATACTGGAAATCTCAGTAGTGTCTTCAGTGGTAACACAAACCTGCCAATAACCTACCCTCACCTGCTGTCAAATGGATTCATGCAAGTATTTCATTAAAGTTCTTTCCACCTCTTCAAACATTTCATATTCCCATCTCACACAATCAGAGGCTGAGATGGAATGTGCTTACTCCAGGTGCCAAAGGGAATCAGCAAGTTGAGTGAGTCAGCCCATTATCCAGCTTTCAGTTTAATGCCAAGGTGAACTGTATTTCAACAGGTCCCAGGTTATACGTAATAATACAACAAGCAGAGAGCGAGGCAGACTGGAATAAGGGCAAAGGAACACACCAATACCTCTCTCAGATGGGAAACAGAAGTGGAAACATTCAGATGTTCTGTGGCATGCAGCTGGGGCACAACATCATACAAAGGCAAGCCTGTAGCATCAAAGCAAAGCAGCTACGTGCTCATAAGAAGTCTTTCGAGTGCTTAGTCTAGCATCTCCTATGGCTGCCAGCCAGCTGGCCTTCCTTCATAACTGTCATTTCAAAAGCTACCAAAAGCCCAGGGCCACTCTACCTGCCCATTTACACAGCTGTGAAGCCCCACAAGCCGTTTACTTCCTTTGCTGCAAACATTCCCCAGGGTCCCATGTAGTAGGGTACCCATCATGTCAACCTCTTCAGAGCTCATTAATTGAGTATAATTGCATCTATGAAGTGAAAAAACATCCTGATATGAAGAACACACGCCCTGGCAAAGGGAAGGAGGGGGAAGGAGCGGAAATCAAGCACTCACAGATTGAGGTGTGTTTTTTAATGTAAATTATTTTGTCAGCAAAACGGATTTCCAGAGCTGTTTCTTTGAAAAACACCTGGACTTTTCACACGACGAGCATCCAACAGCAGCTCCGTACTGAGAGCAGCGGCTGTAAAATCAGCCATGGGGAAGGTCCTGCAGCCTCGCACCGCACTTATTTCACACCCATCCCGGGAGGCTAATCCAGTCCCTGGGGATCACCGCGCCTCGCAGCTCCCAGACCGCGCTGCGCGCAACCACCACCTAATTTTCACCCCAGATCTCACGTATCTTGTGAGAGCCAACTAAAACCCCGCAGTCCCCAGCGCACCCGGCTGCTCTGGCAGCCCGCCCTTCGCTGGGGAGCCCGGCTAAGGCGGCGGCGAACACCCGCCTCATCGCCAGCCAGGCCGGGATGATGCTCGGGAGAGGCGACGGCTGCACGGAGGCAGGAGCGCAGCTGCTGCCACCCTCCCCGCAGGCGGGTTCTGCCGTAGCTACCGGCGGCGCCGAGGGGATAGGACGATCGAGGCGGACGGGCAGCCGTGCCTACGGTGACCGCGGGATGACACAGCAGCAGCCGCCGCTGGGCACAGCCCCGGGGCCCGGCGGGGATGGCGGCGGCGCTGAGGGGACGGCCGTTACATAACGGTCGCGGCCCGCAGACCCGACCCCAGCACTGACACCGGTTCCCCCCCTTCCTCTTCCTCCTGGCACTGCTGCTCCCGCTCCGTCCCCGGACACCGCGATGAGACAGCGGCGGCGGCTCCCGGGGACATCGCGGCCCCGCCCGCCCCTCCCTCCCCTCACCAGCGGCTGCATCTCGGCGCGCACGGCGGGCACCTGGAACCGGTCTATCTCCTCCATCATGGTGGCGGCGGGGCTGGGGCGCGGCACGGGCGGACTGAAGGCGGGCGGGCGGGCGGACGGGAGAGCGCAGGGAGGCCCCTCACGCGCCGAAGGACGACACCGACAATACCGCCACCAGCCGCGATCACTGCCTCATCGCCGCCGCCGCCGCCGTGACTCAGCCGCGCTGCTTCCGGGTCCGGCCTCCACCGCCCCACCCCTTATCTGCATATTCATGAGGGGAGGGAGGGGCGTGGCCACTGTCAGCACCCCAGGAGCCCGGATGCTGGGTTCCCCTCTGCCCCCCCCCGCCCGGCCGGGACGTACCATTCCCCACCTCGGGGGGAGGTAGCGAGGGCACTTGGGGTGAAGGGAGGGGAGGGGAGGGGGAGAAATAGCTGTGGCCAACGGCTTTCTGCACGCCGCTTCCGGTACGTTGCCATAGTTACAGCTGTCAACTTCCGTCCAGCTGTGGCGAGAAGCGGCCGGTGTTGGGGAGCCGCCGGGGCAGTCGCGATGCCAGGCAAGGCGGCCGACAAGCACCGGCAGGTAAGGGCTCGTCCCGTGTCGGCATCGCAGTAGGGCGGTGGCGGTGTGAGGTCACCGCCGCCGTGACGTCGTCCCACCCCGAATGGCGTCGCGGCAGTGCCTCGTGCAGCGGGAGGTAGCGGTTCACACGAGGGAACGGCGCTCCGCTCCTCACCGCCTTCTGTAGCCCTGCCGCCCTCAGTCCCTGCTCTGGCGGGGTGCCACAGCGTGAGGGTGACATGGCGGTTCCCAGAGCTACCGCATGTTATGCCATCATGTGTAGCCCAGCTTGTTCCCCCCCCCCGACCCAGGGTGCCCTGCAGACCTGTAATCCCACAGGGCTGGGTGAGGCACCAGGGCTTGGAACTGCTTACTGCGTGGTTACACGATGTGGCATCATTGTCCCAGCACTGAGGTGCGTCATCACCCTGGTAGGACACCTGTGTGTTCTGTGGCGTTTCGTAGACTCAAAGAATCAACAAGGTTTGGAAAGGTCATCAAGCCCAACTGTTACCCTAGCACTGCCAGTTCACCATTAAACCATGTCACTGAGGGCCTCATCTACACCGCTTGTGAACACTTCCAGGGATGGTGATTCCACCACTGCCCTGGGCAGCCTGTTCCAATGCCCGAGCACCCTCCTGGTAAAGATTCTTTTCTTAATATCCAGTCTAAACTGGGTATTATTGTACACACCAGGCAAACAAGCATGTCCCAAAGCTGCAGCACCCCACACTCTGTCACTGCTATAGCAACCCTACATAGTCTTCAGATCATTGTCATGCTGTTTCATCACTGTTACAGCATATGATACTTCCCTTCATGGCAGGTAATGCACTTAAGGTGTCCCCAGTCTGCCAGCGAATCTTTGAGGGACACTGAGCAGACAGGTTGAAATCCCTGTTTTTAAAAACTTCCGTAAAAATTCTTTTAATTACACCTAGCTGTAAGTTTTGTCACTTTCCTTTAGTTTTACTATTTGGTCTTTGCTCAGTTCAGACAATAAAGTGAGGCTGTGTCCTAACCTTTGTGGCTGTAACCCTACTCTGGGAGTAGTGGTGTGGGATGTATTCCGTGAGACCTCACTGTCTGCCTTCAGGCTCCGCATGGGTATGTCTGTGTGGATGCCTGTACAGGATGAACAGCCCAGTCAGATTTATTTCTGGATCTCATCTACTAGATTTGCAAAGTGTTTGATTTAAAAGCAGAAGGTGACCTGGCTGATAAAACCCTTTTCATATCCCACAGACTGTGTTACATCAACAAAGGCATCACCAGCAGAGACAAAGATGTCATTATCCCACTCTACTCAGCGCTTGTCAGGCCGCACCCAGAATACCGTGCTTAATTGAGGTCCCTGTTAAACAAGATAGATGTGGTCAGGCTGGAGTGGGTCCAGAGAAGAGCCACAGATGATCAAAGGACTGGGAAGCCATGGGAGGAAAGGCTGAGAGAACAGGGTTTGTTCAGCCTAGAGAAAGATGGCTTAGGGCAGAATTTTCCACCAGGTTCCAGTATTTAGAGTGTGGCTACAGAGAAGATGGAGACTCCCTTTTTGCAGGGAATCAGATAGCATAAGGGGTCATGGGCAAAAGTTTTCCTGGGGAGATTCTAATTGGACAAAAGAGGAAACTTTTTTCCCAATGAGAACAATCAGATATTGCAATAATCTCCCCAGGGAACTGGTGGATTCCCCGACACAGGACACTTACAAGGTTTGGCTGGGCAGGGTGCTGGGACATTAGTCTAGCTCATGCTTTGCCTCGAAAGGTTGGACCAGATGAGGTCCCTTCCAACCTGGTATTCTGGGATTCATAAATGGTTTAGGTCAATCTGAAAATATTTGATCTTTGGGGTGGGGAGAAGAGCATTAGCAGTAGTGGCCCACAGTGACTGAGAACAAGCAGCCTCCTTCCTTGGTCCAGAACATGTGCCAGAAAGCCGTAACTAATCAAAGAAAGCAGAAAAAAAGAGGGACCAACGTGATGGTATAGAGCTGTGAGATGGTATCTGAGATTCCTGGACAACCCCCAGTGATCTGCAAGAGGATCTGCACAACAGGAGCTCTTTCAAAGAGAGAACAACAACTCTTGCTGATCATCTGATCCCCTTCCAGTTACACAAGCATGTTTCATCTTGTTGGTCTATCCATGCTGCAGCTGTATAGACCATACAAACCCATGCAACTTCTGAAGCTTGAGCTAATAAAACTCACTAATGTGAGCTGGCTTTGTAGAGCCTGAGGACATCTTCTTGCTCCTGCAACCAAGGGCTGGAGCCCAAAATCCAGAAGTACTGAAATAGTTCCTCATGGCCTCTGAGGTCTCTGAGAGCCACCTGGGTGTTTCTGCAGCTGTAGTAGGAGGGCTTGTGGGCTTTAGAGCAGGCAAGAAGAAAAGAGGGGATCACTGTGACATTCCTAATTTTGTGCTAAGAGGTAGAGATTTAGTAATTTTCATGTTACAAAGGGCTTTATAAAGTTTGCAAATGGCACAAATTCAGAACCGTAAACCAGATCCACTCCTAGATTATGATGTTTATGCTAAAATTGTAAAACTCAATAATGATGACACAAGCTAAACATGAGATGAAATGCTTGCTCTGAATTTCAGTTTCTTTTATTTTTAGATTTCCACATAAATATTTTCAATCATTTTCGGTAGCCATTATCTCAAATATTCTGGAACAGAGAGGCTTTGATTCACAAGTTATTTGAAAAACTTAATTAATGTGCTATGAAGGCATTAATTTTATTTTAAACATCTTGGAACATTATATGAAATTCTTAAGATTTTTGGCTTTTCACGTAACTTTCATTACAGTAACTTTAAAGATAATAATTTTAACTTCTCCTGTACTGCCTTTCCTGTATTTGCCTTGAGCTTGTTAAGTCTGAGGCTGTTTCATGTGCTTTTATCTATCAGAATATTCTTGCAGTGGATGAATTCTGTAGTTGACTAGCTGGCTCTGGAGTCCGTAGGCTTTAGCTTTGTTTTCCCTAAGTCAAAATATAGCCCACATCTCAGTGGCTTTGGGAGTTCAGGGTATAGACAGCAGTGCCTTTGCACTTCTTACTACCCACTCAGGGCCCGATGATTGGAATTTACTGAGCCATAATGGCCACTATAAAGTTAATTGGTAAGTTAGGGTATAGATCCCAGTTTTTGACAAGAAAATCTCTGAAAATAGGTAAGCTCCTACACTTCTCCCTCATATGCATACCTTCTGTGTGCCAGTGTTTGTAGTTAAGGCTGGAAACAAGCCTGCTATTTGTTGCTGAGGCTGTTTTTTCTGCTAAGCATCATTTCCGTAGGCTTTCCATCCTCATCCCTTTTGTTGCTAATGCTCCTCTACTACTGCTGTTTTCCACTGTCCTCTGTTTTTCATTCCTCTGTTTCTGTATATTGCTTTGTTCTGATTTACCTCCTAGGTTTTTTCAATGCTGACTGCTTTCCCTTTGAAAATTTTCTTCTTGAGGTTGTACTCAAAGCTGAGATAGTTACCCAGGCACTATCAGGTCCTTCTCTTTTAGTGTCTGTCACTTCAGTCCCTCCTCTGCTTTCATGGTTGTGCATTCTTCAGGTGCTTTGTGATCAATTCTTTTTGTCGTCTTCTTTTCCCTTACAGGTGGTGGTTGCTTGCCCTTCTTCTGTACCTGTGTTGTATCTGCCTTCTTCTCTGACTCCAGTTTCTTGCTTTATTTCACTCTTTTTTTTTGTTTTTATCTGGGTAACTTTAGCCTCCAGTTCAGTCTCCAGCCATCTGGATGTCTTTTTCTTTGAAAGAAATCTCCCATATTCCCAGGTGAAAATATGTAAAAGACCATCAGAGATAAAGGCTTCCAGATTAATCTTTTGACTTGATCTGAGCCTTGATTAGAAGCATCTTCAGGCTTTTGCATGTTTTTGTACATAAATAAGAATGTTGTATGCCTGGATCTTTGTGTTCCCAATGCAGCTTTGTAAATAGCTTTCTTATGCTCTGTTCTTCTATAACATCCTTCCTTTCAGGTCTGAAATGTGTTATGGACAATAACAGAGCTCCAGAGCATTTTGGAAAGATGTGGGATTTTGGAAAGGCATAAACCAGTAACCCTGCATCAGACAGAAGGGAATGGAAGAATTAGATTCTCAGCTTTCCTGACATGACTAGGACAAGAAGGACACTGAGAAGTGCAGTATGCTTTAAAAACACTGAGCTTTGTGGCATATGCATGGAAATGGAGAAAGATGTTGATAGGGCCGGGATTAGCACCTAACCTGGTGTCAGGCCCACATGTAGTCCTGGGTAGTGAGAGAAAGGGGCCAATGCTCCCGAGATTATTTTAAACATAGGTATCAGGTGTGCTGTTGAAAGACAGATTTCCCTGTCTTTGCTTTATGGCTTTTTTTTGAGCTGTGGGAAGCACTCTGTGCTGCTGTGTACCTCTATAGCTGAACCCCCACCAAGCAGAAGCAAGATTGCTTATGGTTTCTTAACTGACATTGCATACACTTCTTAACATTTACTGTGTGCAAAACGAGACTGGCTGGTCTTACCACTTAGGGTCAAATCCTCTGTCAGCAGCAGATCACTTATGCAGTGTTAAGAAAGCATCTGAATTTTGACAGCAAATGTTAAAACACTTGCAGTCTTGCACCCAGTGACCTGTCAGCAGCTCCCTTGCCGTTCAGCAAGATGTCAAAGAGAATCAGAGACCCCCTCTCCGAACACAGTCAACAAGTAGACACATTTTACTTTTTTTTTGCCAGCCAAGGCTTTTAAGGTGCTTACTGGCTCTTAAGCATACATTAAACTGTCCACAGAATATAAAATAAACAGTTTAGTGTTTCTCAGAAAACAGATTATAAGATGTATTGGCAAATAGCTCTTCAGTTGGCATCCCTACTGTGTGTAAATGGATGTCTACTGCAGGGCTAGCTGGAAGTCACTTTGTTTCCTTTGGCTTTGTTTCCATTTATGTGCTTATTTGCTCCTTGTGTCTTGTGGTGGTTTGGTATGTAGTTTGCTAATAATCAAAA